GCAACGTGTGTTTGACCACTTTTCGGTCCCAGTCAAACTGGGGCTGTGCTACAGAGAGGTAGTACATACCTAGTAACATGTCCATTGGGAGCTCGTCACTCACCAGGAACGAGACACGATGTCTCAAGTCCCATCCCGCGTACGGGAAAACACACTCTACATCATGGAGGTAGTCATTAACTACCATACGCTGTTTGTTGGCACAGGTCGAATCCACATGTCGACTCAGGCGCTGCACTTGCCCCTGTAAGCGCAGCCTCTCAACGCACGCGCGGCTCATAAAGTTTCTAATCGAGCAAGTGTCGTAATAGGCCCCGGCCTTGCGGCCTCCTATGACTTCCTCGCTGACAAACATTTCACTCTTAGGGGCTTTAACTAACGCCGTCCAAGAAGCTAGTGGATCTGATCTAGACCACTCATGCTCTAGCTCCTCTTAAGGATTCAAACACATTCATCGAATAGAGGGTCGATGGGTCTGAATGTATTTGCGGGACGACTGAAGAGTCTGTAGCTTGGGCCATCTCTCGCGAAGGTGAGGGTGAATCCACAATCGCGACCCTAGTAGGAACAGCTACTATTCCTACTGGCCCGACGTGTTTCCCGGAGCACTGCCTGAAGAACTAGCAACGTTGCTACCAACGGTTTGAGAGGATCCTACTGCCGACCCTATAGTGGGCGGGATCTTCTCGGTGACCTTCCTATTGCGGCACTTGTACATGCTATGACCATATTGGTCACACTTGATACAAGCTTGCCGTGCCCACCGATCTCTCCACACGTCCTCAGCTAGACCCGCTTTCTCCCATGGAGGAGCATTGGGGTCTGTTTGACTCTTCGACCGGGATCCCCTAGGGCGTCTACCAGTCCCTTTACCTTTTTGGGTTACAGCGGCGACTACTCCACCCTCTGAAGTATCGCCACCTGCCTCTGCACCTACTCCCTCCTGGAGGTTGCCGTCCAACTCGATGGTTGAACCATCATTGTCGACAAACATTAAGCGACCCTTCGCCTTCCAGTTGGGAGGCAGTGTCTTCTTTCTCCCTTCCGTAGTGGGTGCCTGTCCATGCCCTATCTTTGCTTCTAGGTCTAGGGCCACCTTGTTGAACGAAGGAAAGTTGGCCTCTTTCGCCAACTGGTTCCTGAGCGGCAGAGATAAGGTCCTCAGGTACGAAGTTAGCAGGACCTGGGGGTCATAGCGTACCCCTGGAACACAAATCAAACGCTCTACAGCGTCGGTGGCATCCCTTACTGACTTAAACTGCCGAGTGTGCAGTGTCAGGATCGCATCAGTGGCCTTTTGAGCCTCCTGCAGATCATGCCACCTGTCTTCCACCATTTTCAGGAAGTCCAACAATTTTTGAGAGGCTGCCCAAGAGCGGAAGTCATGACCGTACCCCTGGAGTTGCACTAACCCACTCAACCATCTCGCTGCACTACCCTCCAGGTAGGAAGCAGCCACAAGCACTTCTTCGTGTGGCAAGGTGAGTTTACACCTGACATAGACCGGTTCTGCCCTCAACCATGTGTCGAGATCTTCGCCTCTCTTGTCCCCTGTAAAGGGTTTGGGAGCGGCGATGGCCGTCTTTGGAACCCACTGACTTTGTCCCGGTCCCTGCACCAACCCGGGTTGTGGACCCGGCGATACAGGTTGTTGTGCTAGCTGCTGGGGCTGTGTGCCCTGAGGTTGCACTGACTGTGAGACAGCACGCTGCGTGGTGACTGCAACCTGTGACGGGCTTGGAGTAAACACTGTCTGAACAGGAACCTGCAAACTACTCCCTGCTGTTATCCCTCCTGACAGAGGCATGCCCAGGGAAACGATAGCAACCGATGAAGGGGCAGACATAGAGGAGTTAGAGACGATGGACCTGACGCATATGGATGATGATGTGAAGGTAGTTAGGAGGGCCCTGCTAGGCGTAATTGAGATGCAGGAGCATCAAACTACCCTCCTTCAGGACATTCAACAAAGCCTAGCCGTGTTGGCAGGCCGTGCTCAGGCCGCACCATCACCAGCAGGGCCTGGTGCCTGGCCCGTGCCATATCCTCCTCTTTTTGTTCCACCGGTGACTGGGGTATCCCCATATGTAGCCACAAGCACTTCTTTGTGTGGCAAGGTGAGTTTACACCCACCTTTGTCTTTAGCTATCTGAAAAGGTTGGGGGGTTGGGGGCTGATGATTTCTTGCAATTTGATTGTTCGTTCATTTGAAGATTTCTTACACCAGCAGTGGAAA